AACTCATGGCCCGAGATCAAGACCTGAGCTGAGAGAAAGAGCCAGTTCCTTAACCGGCTGAGCCACCCAGGCGCCCCTTAATCTTTTTGAAAAATTCATGTATTTGGGGTTCTGCAAGTTATAACTGTATACTGTATCTAGTTCAATTTGGCTCTTTTCACTTGATCTTACTTTATGCACATTGTTCCATGTTATTTCATACTATTAAAAACATTATTTAGTAATGTCAAGTGATGTATGACAAACTCTCCTGGGATTCATCAGTCTGAGGTCCAAATGCAGAAGAGAAAATAAAGGTAACAATATCTTCCATTTCTTACTCCATCAAAAACAGAGCCCTGACTTAGTCCCAGAAAAGGTCGCTGTTGAACACATTTCGAGATGTCCTTTTTCGAGCCAATTATAAGGGCTGTGCAATAAAATGACATCTCTCCTAGAAGCTGCCTTTCCTTCCAAAGAGTGAGAAAATGTCTATGACACGAACAGAAGAATAGGAATCTCAGACTGTCCTCAAAGCACTAGGCTGTACAAACAGAGACCAAGAATCAGGGAGGCCCAAGTTTAAAGCAAAGTTAAGAGTTCATTTAAAAGAATCGGGAGGGTAATCTGGGTCAGCCAATTCACATTTGGTCAGGACTGCTGGAGGCTGAATGTCATCACCATCAGATGTTCAGTGCCCTGAATGAAATGGGTTGGTCTCATTCCAGTTTCCAGAGAACAGGTGCACACAAAGAAGGGGGGGGGTGGGATGTACTGTTATAGTTGGTACTAATTAACATCCTTGCTGGCAGGCTCAGCAGAAGGGTCAAGAGTTCATTGGCAGTAGAAAGGGCTGATTCGCTCTGGAATCACTGATTCCAGGGACACACTGATGAGCTGTGTGAAACCACAATCTCAAAGAAATGCCCACAGCCCCGGAACTCCATACCCTGACACGTGCCCGGGTGGACATAGTCCATAGATAGTTGCGTTTGAGTCCTCAACCCCTTTGGGAAACCCAGAAAGGCAACACTCCTCAGCAGCCCCTTCACCAACTAAAAGAATAAAATATGCTGGTAGCACATATCCAGTTTAAACCCTGCCTCTTCCATGAAATTCTCTGTATCTGACCAGATAAGCTTTTGGTCCTCCATATCTGTAATACTGTTGGGCACTCTGTCTAGCAGTGTTACTGAAATTATTTATAGTTGGCCACATCCAGACCCCAAGTACCTGAGATATTAATAGCCTCCTTCTAAGTGTGAGACATCGTAAGAGACTCCAGACCTTTCTGTTCCCACCTCTAGTCCCAGAAATGCCTCAGAATTCCTTGTAAGGGCTTAGCTTATCCTACCCAGGTCCTCCGCCTGGTTAGCATGCACACCCACTACACCCCTGCCCCCCGCATTCCTCATCCCTCCCAGGAGACCTTTCCTTCTCCAGTCTTGTCCCTTCCTTTCCAGTCAACCCATTTTTCTCGTTTTCATTATACACTTGGCAACTCTTTAGTTGACTCCTTCCCTTGAACAAATGATTGCCTCTGCTAGGAATATTCTCTCCTGTTCTTTCAACCAATCCGCTGTCATGATCCATCTCCTCAAAGGCTGGACGTGGAACTCTGCAATTAGAATGAGCCTTCTTAGACCAGGCAGGCATTGCGCATGTTAGGTGTTTCACTATGTAGTTTCTGTGTTTGTGTTCTCTCTCTGATCACCAGGTTGAACCTTCAAGGATAAGACGATGATCACCAGCATCTATCCCACGTGGTCTAATACAATGCTCTGCATACAACAGATGTTCCATAAATATTTGTAAACTAACATAAACATGATTTTCAAAATGTTCAATAAATATATGTTGACACAGAAGTGATTTTTCTTAAAACAGAGCTTAGTTTGTGGGACCTACTCTTCAAACACAGTAAGTTGATGATGGAGGTAAGTGCCATGTGTAGAATGTTTGTGTCCCCCCTCCAAATTCATATACTGAAATCCTAACCCCCAATGGGATGGTATGTGGAGGTGAGACCTTTGGGAGGTGATTAGGTCAAGAGGGCAGAGCCCTCATGACTGGGATTAGTACCCCTATAAAAGAAGGCCCAGAGAGATCCCCTCCCCCTTCCACCCTGCGAGGACACAGAGAAAAGAGGGCCATCTATGAGTCGGAAAGTGGATCCTCGCTAGACACAGAATCAGCTGGTGCCATGGTCTTGGACTTCCAGCCTTCAGAACGGTGAGAAATAAAAGTGTGTTGTTTATAAGTCACCCACTTTCTAGTATTTTGGTTATAGCATCTAGTATTTTGGTTAAGAGTGGTAAGTAAAAAAGACAGATTGGCCATCATATCTCTTAGCCTTTGCCACCAGATTCCTACCACATCTTCACTAGTTATAAGAGAAGCTACCATTTGATGAGTGCATTCTCTTTGCCAAGCACCATATGTACTTTATGGCGTTTAGTCCTAAGAGATAGATGCTATTATTCTTTTATTAGCATTTTGCAGAGGGAAACACTGACGCTTACAGAAATTAAGCAGTTTGCTCAGAATCACATTAAATGGAAAGTCAGTTTCTTAAATTAGATGTCTCTGAAACATTAGGGGGTAGTGAGCTAAGAGGAAAGGATGGGAAGAAGGTGGGAGGAAAGTTGATGAAAAAGAAAAATCATTTGGTCCCATTTTGCAGAGCACCAGGCAGTCATATCTCTCCCCATGACGGCAGTGGCTGCAGCAGTGTGACCCAGATCCCTCCTCCAGGACACAGGGAGACAACAGTTCCCCAGCCAGGGAGAGGAGGCTGTTGACGGTGCACAGCTAAACCCCTACCTGGAACCTGCCCTTGGTCGAAGGGAGCTGCCTCGTCCAAGTCATAGTGCAAGTCACAGCCCCACGCAGGGCTGGTCAGACGCACGGGTGCAGAGACCCAAGCACCTTGCCACACATCAGGATATCTTCGAAGGGCCATCCCAGCACCGGTGCTCCCCATGGCATTGACCAAGCCTCTACTACCATTTCGCAGCTCAGCTTCTCCAATTGCCCAGTTTCGCTTTCCTCCTTCCCTCCCTTACTCCTGTTGTTCCTGAGAGCCCTCTAAAAAACCTCCTGCAGGCAAGCCTCTCCTCTGAGCCTATTTCCTGGGAACCTGCCTGAAGACACCTATCCATAATGAGAAAGCAGGTGTCAAGGCCACGGCCCGAGCTCTCACCTGATCCCTGGAGAGGGATGCTGGGGGGCACGTCCACAGCGGCGGAAAACCCTAGACGCAGGCAGAGGCTGGATCTGTAGCCCTCCACCCTGACGCTCCCTTTGTTCCAGCTGGTGGCCTTCCCTGTCCCCCTCGCCCATCAAGAACCAGAACCTTGGCACTCTTGCTTCTCACCCCTCTCCCCCATCAAGTTCTGCATTCAGGAAAGGATGCGATGAACTCAGTCACACAAAAGAAAAATTAATAACATTAATGTGTTACTGCTTGGGATGGAAAAGAAGCTAGACTTACTTTAAGTTTAAACCAGAAGAAGAATATATGTACAGCAAAATTCCAGATATTTATTTACTCAGATAAAATATATTTAAGAACGTACTGTGCTGAGCTGGTGGCAAGGTAGGCGGATTGTTGGGGGTGGCCACCTCAGCCCTTCAGAATAGACCTGACTCCGTGGCTGTGCATCTTTGACCCAGGTCCCCTGAGGGAGTACCCACTCTGTGTTGATTCAAAGGGGCCAGCAGAGTTGATGACCTAACCACAGTACCACAGGAGCAGACACCTATGGGTTGTTTCCACACATGCCCAGGACTCAGGAAAAATCTAGGGTCTTTTTATATGGAGTTCAATTCCACCAGAAAAACAAAGAAGTAAGTAATCAGTCCCTCTTTTGTTCAACTCAAAAGCACACTAAAAGCTTTTTCAAGATACCAGGAGATGGTTCAGAAGAGGCAGAAGCCTTTTAAATTCAGTCATCCCTGCTATTCAGCAAAGGTATATTTACCTACTTTTGGACAGATTCGAGATGAAGGGCACACAGGAAAAATTCACCAGGAGGATTTTGCTACAGAGTATCTACTCTCTGTCTTTAGGTCTACTAAAAAAAAAAAAAGAAAAAAAAAAAGAAAAGAAAAGAAAAAGAAAGAAAGATGGAAGATGTTGCTTCTAATGTTCTGATGTCTCAGAAATGCACATCGGGAGTTGCTGCTTGGCTTGTCACAGATGAATACGTAAAGCTAAGAGGCTGCAGGCAGGCTCAGTGGAATCAGCAAGAGACTCCGGGACAAAGAATTTTAATTACCTTCTACTGTCTACTGCTGTTATCTTGCTGGGAATCTCTGTATAAGTCACTTAACCTTACCTTAAAACTCACTTAAAAAGAAAGAAGGGAGATTAATATAGGTTCATTTCAAAGTTTAGTGTCAGGTATCATTAGTAAAATACACAAAACTGTCTATCCTACGTTGTTCATTAATAATTCCCAAAGATAATATAAACTCTCCCTTTGGCCATGTAAATGTAGCTTTTTAAATTGGATAGATAAAATTTTCATTAATAAAAAAATAAAATCACTGTAAGGTACACCTGAAACTAACTGGATATTGTATGTCAATTATACTTCACTTAAAAAAGTAAGATTTTAAATACTTAGATGAGAATTCTTTTTTTTTTTTAAGATTTTATTTAGCTTGAGAGAGAGAGAGAGAGAGTGAGCACACACATGCACGGAGGTGGGTGGGGACAGGCAGAGGGAGAGGGAGAAAGAGAATCCCAAGCAGATTCCACACAGAGCATGGAGCCTGACACGGGCTGATCCCATGACCCTGAGACCATCACCCAGAGACCATGACCCAAGCTGACACCAAGAGTCAGACCAGACGCTTAACTGACTGAACCACCCAGACACCCCTCTTCGATGAGAATTCTTAACCCTTAAACACACACACATACAAACTATAGGTAGAAAATAGTATGAAGTCTGACTCACCTGTGATGATGAAAGGGGCTTTCAGGTGCAACCTAAGGCTCTGGGATAATTTACCTTGATACACTGCCGCTGATGACCGAGCACGGCTCCGTGTTGTGCAAGTACTGAATGGCTTTGGAGGTTCCTATTAAAACACTGATTCGAATGTGCCAAGAGAGTGGGGCCGTGTTACCCTAAAAAGACAACAGTAGTTGGTTTGGTAATGAAATGTGTATACTCATTACATAGGAGTATGCCAGAAGAAAAGCAGATGGTGAGGTGGGGTAAGGCTAGGGTATGAACATTTTGGTTTCCCACAACCTATTTGTGATTCAAGATACATTTTCCTCTGCTGCCAATGGTAGTAGGCCTTTTTATAGCCAATGGAAATACCCAATAATTTTAACATTAGCCTAATCAAAATATGGCCAGTAAGGTAACTATGTTTAAAAGTTCACAAATAAGGGGCACCTCTGTGGCTCAGTCAGTTAAGCATCTTACTCTTGATCTCATCAGGTTCATGAGTTCAAGCCCCACATCAGGCTCCACACAGTATGGAGCCTACTTAAAAAAAAGTTCATTAAATAAGACTTAAAAATTATTTGTGGCATAATAGTGTGGGTAATTGAGAATAATCTGTTTTTATTCTTACCCTAACGGAGACTTAACCTATTCAGAATGAATTTTTAAACTTATCTTTCAAAAACATGAGAAATCAAGGCATTTTTCAACCTCTTTCTCTTTAAGGAGTCTGTATCACCTTTATGTCTATCCTTTGTATTCAGTGGTACTTTGTGTGAAGTTATGCAAATAGAAATTATCTAAGAAATAAGAGTAGTTAATGTAAACTCATTTGAGATATGGAATCAATAAGGACTAAGGACCCCGCAAATCTTTTGGCCACCGTGCTGCACAACACACAATAACTCAGGTATTTATGCAGTCTTTTTTTAGAGTAAGATATTAATTCATGGAAAAGTCCTCTACTTCCTTGGGAAACCCACTGTTGGCTATCTCTTGCTGTGAATACATGTTGGCCCCCTGGATCCCACAGGACGTTTCAGCAGCTTCTTCAGGGCTTCAGGGGGTCAGAGCGTCAGGGAGAGTCATAGGTGTGACTTACTACACACTGTAATCTGTCAAAAAGGGATCCATTTCTCATATATGGATAAACCAGGCAGAACTTCTCACTCTCTGTAAAATAGGCAGCCAACTCCAGTATGTTTGGATGATGAAACCTTGAAAGAAAAGATTTTTAAATCCATCAGATTGTTTATTCAAATAGGAAATGAACAGCACTGTGGTTTGGGGGTGATAAGGTGAGATGGGGAATAGATCTAAAGCAGAATATAAATTTGGCCAAGGGAGAAGTTATCTCGTTGGACACCTGACAGATTTGTTTCCCAAACTGGTCTAAAGAGCTCTAACAAATACTAGCCATCCTTTGACTGATTGTGATCATGCAAATATAAATAAAATATCCAAATATAAGACAGAAAATTTAAGAAAGCAATGATTTCTTAAGATTTGGGAATCTTGGGAACTTTATGATAAATAGATGACACTACCTGATATTAAATTATGTTTATCAATATGAAACCCAATGTAACTTACTGATTAAGTAAATAAAGATAATACAACTGAAACTATTTCACTGCTTTAAGTATACTGTGTAAGTCACCAAAATACTGTTTTCATTCATCCATTTAGTGAGCATTACTATGTCAGATACTGTGCTAGGCACCAGTCACACAGCTAAAGGAGACATCCAGTGTCTTCATAAAGCTGTACTGTTACCTAAAATTCATGTGATTGGGGCGCCCAGGTGGCTCAGTCGTTAAGCGTCTGCCTTCGGCTCAGGTCATGATCCCAGGGTCCTGGGATCGAGCCCCGCATCGGGCTCCCTGCTCTGCGGGAGGCCTGCTTCTCCCTCTCCCACTCCCCCTGCTTGTGTTCCCTCTCTCGCTGTCTCATTCTCTGTCAAATAAATAAATAAAATCTTTAAAAAAATAAAATTCATGTGATTAGTAAAGTCTGATGTTGAAGAACATATCAGTGATTTTGAAATGCCAGAGTTCTATGTCAGTGTAGAATGCATTTTCAGGCTCCTTTCCTTTAAAACTCTATTTCTTTTTTTTTTTTAAGATATATTTATTTATTTGAGAGAGAGTAATAGAGACAGAGAGAGAGCATGCAAGCAGGGGAAGGGGCAGAGGGAGAGAGAGAATCTCAAGTGGATTCCTCACTGAGCATGGAGTCTGATGTGGGGCTCGATCTCACAACTCTGAGACCAAGAGTTGGATGCTTAACTGACTGAGCCATCCAGGTGCCCTGAAACTCTATTTCTTTTTTTTTTTTTTAAGATTTTATTTATTTATTTGAGACAGACAGACAGAGAGCACAGATGGGGAGGAGGATCAGAGGGAGAGGGAGAAGCAGACTCCCCGCTGAGCAGGGATCCTGATGCAGGGTTCGATCCCAGGACCCCGAGATCATGACCTGAGCCAAAGGCAGGTGCTCAACTGACCGAGCCACCCACGTGCCCAAAACTCTATTTCTTGAATGCCTGTATCATCACTGTGAAAACCAGTGGAACTCAGGTAACCACTATAAAATATAAGATGTGAAATTCACCTGTACCATGAACTCAGTTCAAATTAATTATTCATTGAATGCCTACTATGTTCTAGACATACTTGGGGATGTTAAAATAAAGCTTTTTTTAAAGACTGTATTTATAAAGACTTATTATTAGTTTCTTCAATAGCAAAACTTTCCTGTAAAATGCCCACACACATCTTCAGATTTCTTGTATTCCTCCTTCCTTAAAGAAGGAAGTGCGTGTGTATGTGTGTAAACACAGACCTATTTTACTTTTAGATATGTCAAAAATGCCTGTGACACAAGATCCCTACACCTATTATTATTCAGACCATCATTACATAATGAAAAGCAAGGGACTGAAAAGCAATTGAGCTGGCATATTTGGCTGCCTAACCAGCTGATCTATACCACTACCTGCGAGTCCTGCACCTTAAAATAATTCAAAAAGATAGAAATCTTTTTAGAAAGAAGATAGCAGACCTCACATAGACATAGCCATGGCCTGGTGCTCTGCTTTCCTGCTCACAGAGCAAAAATGACCATTTGCTTATTTTTAGATATTACCAATCCAGCAGAAAAACGGACAGTGTACCAGTTAGTGAGGTACGGAACGTGAAGCAGCCATCGAGAAAGACTGCTGGCTTTGTATCTACGGACCCTTCTCACTCATCCTTTCACTGCAAATTTTTAAGTCGGTGGGATTTTAGATTGTATAGATCTGAAGGTCTGCAGATATGATAGGTATCTATTGTAACAACTATAAAATATAAAATCAATTCAACAAGTACTTGTGAGTGCCACCTGCAGATAAAACACAATGCAGGGCACCATGGTGTGGGAGAGCAGACAGACTTGAAGGACAGACAGACCTGGGTGTGACTCTCTGGTCTTCTTTTCATCAGCTTTGTGAACTTGGGCAAGTGATTTAATCTCTGTGAGCCTGTATCTTTGCTATGGTCTGAACTGTGTCTCTCCCCCACACACATCCCCCCCCCCAACCCAGCTCCTGTGTTAAAGCCCTAACCTTCAACGTAAAGGTGTTTGGAGAGGCCTCTGGGAGCTAGTCACGGTTAGGGTTGGAACCCTCACGATGGAATTACTGCCCTTATAAGAAGAAAAACTGGAGAATCTGCTCCCTCTCTCTCCACCATGTCAGGACAGAATTAGAAGGCAGTCGTCTACAAGCCAGGAAGAGCACCCTCACCAAGAACCAAATCTGCCTTGATCTTGGACTTTTCAAGCTCCAGAACAGAGAGAAAATAAATTTTGTTCAAGTCCCCTGTTTCTTTTGTGATGGCAGCCCTAGAAGATGAATATTCTTCAACTGTAAACAATAATTAAGACACCACTTCCCAAGTTTCTTATGAAAATTAAATGAAAAGATAAATATTTAGCCAAATGCCAGATCCTCAAAAATTATTACCTCCTTCGCCTCCCCTTGGGAAAGAAGGGAAAGAAAGGAATCAGAAGCCACACCCTAAGGAGTTTACAATTCTGTTTGAGGGACAGGGGTTAAGTAATTCTCTTAATATTGAACTAAAAAAACTCATCTTCAGGTGTCAGCTTAGATGTGACTTTTTCCGAGAAGCCTATTCTGCTGCCCAGCCCCCAGGTTACCTTGTTCCCCTCCTTTGGTGCTCTATTCGTCTCCATTTTAACACTTCGTTTACTGAAATTGCTGTTTACTTGTGTACTTCTCTCCTAACCCCACTCCAGGTAGCATGTTCTGAGAGGAGAAGGCTACATCTGATTTATTCATTAATAAATATCTGAGGAGACTGAAGAAGATTTAGGAAATGAGTTGGATTTTCTCAAAAAGGTAAGATCTACCTCAATTTCCTCATCTCCAAAAAAGGGATAAGGGCAGTATTTACTTCACAGGATTGTTGTGAGGATTAAAGAATGAATACATGTGAGGTACTTGGTATAAAGCCTAAAACTAAATAAATATTAGCAATATAAATAATAATAATAGTGGGGCGCCTGGGTGGCTCAGTCATTAAGCATCTGCCTTCGGCTCAGTTCACGATCCCAGGGTCCTGGCATCGAGCCCCACATCGGGCTCCCTGCTCAGCGGGAAGCCTGCTTCTCCCTCTCCCACTCCCCCTGCTTGTGTTCCCTCTCTCGCTGTCTCTCTGTCAAATAAATAAATAAAAATCTTTAAAAAAAAAGCACACCAAGAATATTCACCATCATAGAGTTGTTAATTCTCTCTAGTCATACATAAATACCTTACCAGAACAAATCCAAATGGATCAGATGTATAAATGAAAAAAAATGAAACCATAAAGGTACTTGAAAAAACCATGGTAGAACTATTTTATAACCTTTCACTGGGAAGGTCTTTGAAACTGTGCTATAAAATTCAGAATCTGGGGCGCCTGGGTGGCTCAGTCAGTTAAGTGTCTGCCTTCGGCTCAGGTCATGATCTCGGGGTCCTGGGATCAAGCCCCACATCAGGCTCCCCTGCTTCTCCCTCTGCCTCCTGCTTTCCCTGCTTGTGCGCTCTCTCTCTTGCTCTCTCTCTGTCAAATAAATGGGTGGAGTCTTTGAATATATATATATATAAACAAACAAGCAAATAAATAAATAAAATAAAATCCAGAATCCATAAAAGAAAATATAGATTAAATTCACTACATTACTCTGAAACCAATAATACATTATATGTTAATCAATTGAATTTAAATTTTAAAAAATTCACTACATTAAAACCATTTCTGCATAGCAAAAACTAGAATAGGCAAAGACAAATGTCAGTCTGGTAAAAAAAAACTCTATCTCACAACAAGAATAAGGCTAATTTTCTCTAATATATAAAATGCTCCTACAAATCATTAAGAAAAATACCAACAGCCTATTCTTTTTTAAAAAAATGGGCAAAGAATAGTATCAGATATTTCACAGAAAAGAAAATAGGTCTCTTAATATGTGAAAAGATTCACTCATAATAGAAAAAGAAATTTAAACCACACTGAGAAATCATTTTCACCTAGCACACTGGCAAAAATTAAAAGTTAAGAATAAATGCTGTGTTGACAAAAATATGGGGAGCCAGGCATTCTTATATATGCCTGCTTTAAGCGTAAATTGGTATTTCTTTTGGAGGACATTTGGTATTATGCAATGCATATAACCATTCGACCCTGTAATTGTATTTATGGGACTTAGATATACTCAAACAGGTACAAAATAACATATATACAAGCGTTTCTTGCAGCATCATTACTTTCTAATATTAAAAGATTAGAAAAAAACTAAAAAATCCATTGATATGAGAATCGTTAATTAAATTACAGTACAGCACACAATGAAATACTAAAATAAGCAAAGTGAACAACATATTTATGCTACCCCTGGTGTGAAAATAAGAACACAAAATACACACATGCTTATGCATAAAGTATCTCTGGCAAGATATGCAGAAAACTGATAACTGTTGCCCTTGGGGAAATCAGCTGGGTGGTTAAATGTAATAGTGGGGAAAAAAAATCTGTTCTTGGTTTACCCTTTGGCACTTTTGGAATTTTGAAATTTTCCAACTTACTACTTATTCATTAGCAAATAAATAAAGCTTAAAAATCGAAACCCTCTACTATTACAATTTGGGTTTTAGTTTTTGGTTGACTAAGTGATATGCATTAAGTTTTTATGATTAGACTTCTAATGTTTTGATTTCTGGTCCCGGGGATAAAAAAAGGATTTAGTACAATGCCTCCTCCACCACCGCCCATTTCACTTATGGCTTTAGAAAATATCTGAAAAGAATATTTTCTTTTCATAAAGGGTGATGAGTGAGCTCCATAGGGTTAAGGGCCTTTGATGAGCAGGCTGTACGGCTGCAGATATGAATATATATGAACATGAAGTCATTTTAGTTTGTCTCCAAGGACTCCCTGGCTCATGAATGAATTCCCAGAAAACAACACTTGATTTCTTTGTCTAAACTCTCTTCCTGAAGAGGGTTATACTGATGAAACAGTTTCTTGACTAAAATGTCTCTAAGGAAGGAGGGAATGATCAAATATATACACAATTCTAATGTTCTAGCAGTTACTTGACATTGAGCCATGTTAGTCACACATGATTTAACCCACCTCCTTGTGACAGTTTCTTGTTAAAATATGTTCAAGTGAATTATGTGGATGGTGTATTTTAAAATGTATTCTAAGAAACAGACTAAAGCAGACGTCAAAAATGTACCCAGTGTTCTCATAGCCAACCCACATTTATTACATGCTAACCATGCCAAGCACTGTGCTGTAGCATCAAAGATGCACAAAGCTGAAAACCAGGCACAGAGGGAGAAATTCCAGACAAAATATACTCACAGTAGTAAAACTTCAAGCTCAGATAAAAACCTCTTCCATTGTTTCTTACATTGCATTTTTTTCTCCTAAATATCGTACAGAAAAATGAGAAAAAAATTAAGGAAAGGCTCTCTATTTCTGGGATTCTTAACCCAGGGTCTATAGTCTTCCTGAAACTTAGCTGCCCTTTTTGATGTAAATGCATATAAGCACTTTTTCTGGGGAGAGGATCCTTAGCTTTCATCAGACTTTCAAAAACCCATTACCTCCCAAACAGATTGAGAACCACTGCTCTTGAGTTAGAAGTTTTTCATGCAATGTGTCCTGTTGCCCTATTTCATATTCAAACCCTTCTACCATATTTTGTACACATTTACATAAATTCAAAAATTTTACATATGTATTTAAGGAAAATCCCATGACAGAAACTCCCCACTTGGTCTCAGAAAGAATCCAGTTTGTTGTCGCTGTATTCTGGTTAGAAGTGATTTCACTAATTTGGCATTTCTGATTTGGGTCATTTGGAGATGATGACTCAAATTTACCTTTGTATTAATTTTGGAAAAAATGGGCTTACTAAGACATTGAGAAATATAACTCCTTATTTCAAAGGAGTTTCAGAAGCAAGCCCAATGCCTGACACATGAATATTTATTGAATATATTAATGAATTCTATAATATTGTATGAGCACCTACTCGGTACCTGGTATCGTTCTTGATGGCTTTATACACCTTATGTCACTGCATGTCTCTGCATCTCCAGTTCCTAACTTCTACCACGAAAGAGTTAAATATTCTTAGGCTCCATCAGCTGTAAATTTCTATTATTTGTAAATTGCAAGACAGGGCAGGGTTTTTAGAGCTCTGTTCTCAGGAAGAAAGGGAGAGAAATCCAGCAGGAATTCTGGAAGCTATTTTCCAAAAATTAATCCAGGAAGTCAGAAACAATAAACTAGGCTAACAAATCATTTTCAAGGACCGCTTTATGAGAATTTACATTTTAAAAAGCCGTTGTCCGGGAAGCCAGGTGGATTGGGTCTCAGTCCTATTTCTAACACTCAATATTTGTGACTTTTGTCACTTAACATCCCTGAGGTCATTGTTTTCTTAATCTGAAAAAGGAAGGGGTTAGTTTTTGTGTTCATGCTAACCTAGCACTCTTAATGCTCAAAGTTTGGTCTGTGCATGAGGAACATCGGCTTCCCTGGGAGCTGGTGAGAAATGCTGAATCTAGGTCCCTACCCAGGTGTGCTGAATCAGAATCTGCATCGTAAGATCTCCAGGTGATCTGTACGCACCTAACGCATCTTGTACATTTCCCCACTTCCATCCCTTGAAGATAGGTTATTGAGGTACTGAAGTTAATGTCCCAATTTTACAAAACCACATTTCTTTAAAAACAAATGCTCTGTGGCTAAGTCTTTGTTAAATTATCCCATCTTTCCTGGTGTGTAGGACTTTGTACAGTCTCTAAGTCTCTGGTAACTTTGTCAGCTCCTGTCTTTTTACTCCTAGAGATTAGCAGCTAAATTCATGAAAAGGACATACATGCTTCATTCAATTCACCTAATGAGCATTTACTGAGCAACTTCCATGGGCCAGGCCCTGTAATAACACTCTGGGATACAAAGATAAGTAAGACTCTTTAAAGAAAACCATCAAGCCCACTGGGAGAGGTGGGTGATGAAGTCGGTGTTGAGAGATAACGCTATGAGGCTGTGGCTGCACATCGGAGCTCTGGCTGTCTCTCCCGGGATCCCATGACCTTTTATACAAATCTCTGCTCAACTACTTCTCACCTTACACGTTCATCTTTTCTTTACCTGACCGTTTGTTTGCCCCATAAGACTGAGTTCCCTGAAGTCAGAGAGGGAGACGAACCATGAGAGACTCTGGACTCTGGGAAACAAACTGAGGGTTTCAGAGAGGAGAGGGGTGGGGGGAGGGGGTTGCTGGGTGATGGATACTGGGGGGGGCACGTGCTGTGATGAGCACTGGGTGTTATATGCAACTAATGAATCATTGAACACTACATCAAAAACTATACAGTGGCTAACTGAACATAATAATAAAAAAAAAAAAGACTGAGCTCCCTGAGGACCGAATTATGCCTCATTCATTCTTGCTCAGCACCCAGCCCAGCAAGAGTTTAATAAATGTTTATTGACCATTGACTATCAATGAGGAACATGAAGAGCAGCTGTCTGAGGTATCTGTGTGCGTCCCTGTCTCCTGACTCCTGAGTATGACTCCCCAGTACCCTTTCTGCTTTACTGGCTGTGGCCCCTCAGCTTTCTCCTGAGCTCCTACTCTGATCATTGCCTTGCTCCTCTTACCTGAAGCCTCCTCCTTCCAGCCCTCCTGAACTGTGATACATGACAATGTAATCACAATACAATTTATAAATATCAGCCTGTGGCTTAGCCTGTGAAGCTACTTGGAACAGACACTGTCCATCCCAAAAAGAACAAGAAAACTGGAGTAGCCCAGAACAAGCAAAGTGCCAATGGTCCTGCAAGGCTTCTCAGAAAAGTCCTCCTCCTTCGACACATCTGGGGATGGGAAGAATTTCATTTCCACATTCCTGCGAGACAGGCAGTCATTTCACAGTCTTTTCTCCAGTCACCTGAGCTCATATATCTTATTTCCATTTATGAAACTTTATTTTCAAATATACCTCCTTTCAATGTTGATGAAAAATGACACTTTCTAGTATGAAATATGAGCAAATAAATGGAATTGATCTCCCGTGGTAGTAATTCTTTCCATACCTGTTTAAATAATTTAATGGCATATGTTCGGTTTTGGATCTCCGCTCTGTATACCTCAAAAATCTCCCCTTCTCCAATTAGGAAATCTTTGTGGAAATTTTTGGTTCCATCTCTGATGTTTTGAAAGCTCATGGAGGATTTAAACAATATTCCTTAGGAAGGAAAGTAGGGAGAAGATAAGTTACTTTTTCTCTTCTTAAGAATCAATGCCACCATTATAAAGAACCAGGACTTCCATATTAGAAATACATCAGAGCCCAGCAGAAAACCAGCAGGGCAGGGCCCAGGAACCCAGACTGAAGCCCACCATGTGCTCTCTGCCCATTTACTCGGGTCTGGCACCCACCATTCCAGAGACCAAATGGCTTTTTAGATATCTGAACAATAGCACTGTGATTCTATCACCCTTCCAAAGAGCTCAGCCAAAGAACTTAGTTGGGGAAACTTTTCCAAGATTTGATTTCTTTGTCATTAGATCAATGGGTTGCTTTTGACTCACTATGAACCTAAAACCATTTAAAAAAAAGAACCCAAAAACTATAGAAGTTTATGACTAAACAATATTCTCCTAGAATGACTGATAGAAACATTATTCATGAGCCAAATCCTCTCTATTCCTAACTTACTTCCTCAGAGTAAATTCGGAAGATGCTTCAGCTTTTCAAAAAATCATCTAAAGCAGAGATTGGGAGAAAACATTCAAAAGGTAATCAAATACATATCCAAAGGGAAAAGCTTAGCTAAATCCTTCAGAGCCCGATTTTGGCTCTATTTCCACATTTTATGTTTGATTTAGAACTTACTGTTAAATCTTAAGGGACCAAAACCTTATCCAACTTTATCCAACTTTTCTAGTTCTCTTTTGAACCAAAGAATATGCAGATCTAGTGGTAAAGATGAGGCAAAGCAGATTTACTAGCCTTTAAAGTTTATCAGAATGATTCCCAGGTAGAACTAAATTATTCTCCCTGCTAATAAATTAATAAAGTTGATATGGAAAATAATGGGATTTTCACAGTGACCTTCAGCATTGCTCTACAGACATCTCTAAAGATCTCTGCAAGGGCTATGGAAATTTCTAAAACTATATAAAACCCAGGGTAATTTTTAAATGTTTTCTGATGACACATAAAAATGCAAATTTCACTAATGGAAAATATGAAACTCCCCTAAGGGAAGAGACCACCATTATATTCTCTATTGGCCAATGGATTTTTAAAATATCACCACAATATATCATCCATCAGAGCTCTCTGTCAGTCAAAACTGCAAGTATTTTGATATCCACGAAAACTTTACCCTAAACCTGCATATTAATGAAGAGTTAATAGGTTTATTGGTTATTCCTCCCTGTAAGTTAACTTAAAGCAAAACGTGATTTAAAGTAAAAATAAAAAAATTTTTTTTACCTTTTTCATTACGTTCAGGGATAAGAACATTATCCACTGTGACATTAGCTGTTTCCTAAGAGAGGAAATACAGACTGAAGTAATTCCATTTCGTAAGTCTAGAAAGAACAGAACCCTAACAGGAATCCAAAACTCCCCCTGGACTATAGAGTAGAATAGAGTAGAATCTGATTTAGAAATAGAGTAGAATCTAATTTAGAGTGCAATAGAGTAGAATCTAATTTAGAAAAAAGCTAGTAGAAAGCAAAGTTACTTTATTTAATTCAATAGGATTCATTGCTATATACAGTTAAGTCTTTCATACCACTGCAAAAACTCAATGTCATGGTTATAGTCAATTTTAAATGACTTCTAATGCTATAAAAACAATCACTGCCAATTTATTTGTTCCAATAAAACCAACAGCAACATGCAAAACGCCAACTAGAACAGGAAAATTAAAAACTGAATTAAGATAAATGCACAGCTGCCAGCACTCTTAATAGTTCTAAGCCTCATCTGTGATAGACCACTGTGAGAAGAAAGCTCTTCACTCTTAAAACACTCACAAATCTCTAATTCCTCAATCCCCAACTAAACAAAGAGTAATGAGAGAGCTGAGGATTTTCTGCTTTGAGAAAAGTACCTGCAAATCCAGCATTTTTCTGTCTGACAATTTCATTCCCCATGCTCAATTATATATGTAACAGGATTCAAGGTTCATTATCTATGCACATACACTCTACCTTGGGTAACATGTTTGGAAATCCATCTCCCTGATGACTCTGCTCTGAAGGATTCAAGACTGCTCCTGAAAGAGAAATAAGGGAAGCTAGATACAGAAAAATTTTATGTCTCTAATAAGCATGTTTTTTTTTCTTTCTTAGACTGTAAATAAACACCTTGCTAGTAATGTTAATTTCTAAAGCTCAGTTTCATTCTCTTTGAATGGTTACAAATTTGCATATGTGAATAGCTTTCTAAGGATCAAATATTATGCAAACATGCTTTTGTTCAGTTAACACATAAATACCTACCTTAGATTATTGTTAGACATCATTAAAAATATTAAAGGATAAAGCAGAAAACTGAAAGGAAAAAGCAACATTGTATCAGCTTTTTGCCCATACACTTTAAAGTTCTACAATCATGGGATCATATCTCCCTAGGTTACTTTATTTTTTATCCTATCTTATGCCATAAGGTGTTAGAGGTGTGTGTGTGTGTGTCTGTGTGTGTGTGTGTGTGTGTGTGTGTACGTGCGCACACACATGGTCAACCACAAACACCTACCACCCCTTCCCGAATGCACACTGTAACTTCTGTCTGTTCTATTTGAATTGAGGTAGTCTATGTAGTTTCCTATAAAAGATGAAAACCCTGAAATACTTTGCTGTCACATCTGACATTTTCATTCAGACTTCAGAAAAGTTTTACTTCATCTTCTAGTTTTCTTAGATTGTATTGTATTTTAAAAATTACTTTGCTTAAAAGACTGGCAACAAAACATAATCAATTAATAACAGACCTCCTTGAACAAACTACAAACCAATTAGACCTGGCAGACATGCTATAGAACATTCCATCCAAAAACAGAAGAATATACACATATTTCACAAGTGTACATTGAACAAGCTCCAGGATAGACCATATCTTGTGCAATAAAATGAACCTCAATAAATTTGGAAGGATTGAAATAATTCAGAGCATATTCTCTGACCACAACGGAACTAAAATAGAAATCCATAACAGAAGGAACTTTGGGAAATTCACAAATACATGAAAATTAAACAACAAATCCATAAGTAACCAATGAGTTCAAGAAGAAATCACAAGGGAAATTAGAAAACACTTTGAGATGAATGAAAATGGAAACACAACCTACCAAAACTTATGGGATGCAGCAAAAACAGTGCTTAAAAGGAAATTTATAGCTGTAAATGTCTGCCTTAAAAAAGAAGAAAAATCTTAAATCAATTACCTAAGTTTTTACCTTAAGGAACTAGAAAAGAAAGAGTAAACTAAACCGAAGGAAGCAGAAGGAAAGAATTAAGATTATACTGGAAATCAATGAAACAGATAACATAAAAACAAAAGAGAAAACCAATGCAACCAAAGTGGGTACTTTGGAATTATCACAAAATTGACAATCCTTTAGCTAGACTAACCAAGAAAGAGAGGAGACTCAAATAGCTAAAACCAAAAACAAAAGGGGAGACACAACTACCAACCTCATAGAAATAAAAAGAATTATAAGACAATATGATGAACATCTGTATGTAAAAAATTAGATAACTGAAATGACACAGACAGATTCCTAGAAAGACACAAACTGCCAAAACTAACTCAAGAAGAAATAAAGAATCTGAATGGATGTATTGAAAGGAAAGAGACTGAATTAATAATCTATGATTTCCCACAAACAAAAGCCCAGGTGAATCCTGCCACACATTTAAACAAGAATTAACATCAGGTCTTTACAACTTCTTCCAAAATAGAAGAGGAAGTAACGACTCGCAAATCATTCTATGAGACCAAGGACTAAAAATATGTCTGGATGAAAAAGCCAAAAGAATAAGGATGCTGATTCAAAAGAATTTCCAGCCTAATAGCCCTGAGTCTGTAATATAAGACCCAAGATCACTCAAGAACATTCTTGTTGAAGTGAATAAATCTTTTTTTTTAAAGATTAAATCTGAAGTGGAATAAACAGAACAGGTGACATTAGAAAATTATTTTATTGATAAAGATGAATGGAAAAAGCTTCATGAGCTTTACTTATCAGGTTGCTCTAAATGGAAGGCAAGACACAGCATCAGAAACAGACAAGACAAATAGAGGGAAGTATTAAGCCACTGTGAATGGATAGCAGACAAGTAAGGTACAGTTACAGGCCACGACATAAAAACAGCAGTAAAGATAAAAGATACATCCCAGGGTTATTCTGCAGGTATCATTTGCACTAAAATACAGGGCAGGGGGCTGGAGGTGGGGGTAGAGTGGGGTGTGCCCGGGTGGCTCTGTGGGTTAGGCTGCTGACTCTTGGTTTTGGCTCAGGTCATGGTCTCAGGGTCCTGGAATGAAGCCCTGAGTCCTGCTCCTGGGGAGTCTGCTCAAGGATTCTCTCTCTCCCTCTCTCTGCCCCTGTCCCCACTCGTGCATGTGTGTGCACGTGCACTTTCTCTTTCTCTCTCTCAAATAAATAAATAAATCTTTTAAGAAAACAAAATACAGGGAGGAGAATCCAATTATATTTTGACTTCTAATCATATGATAAAACTAATTATAAAAGTATATTTTACTCAAATATTGTGATTCTGTTTATGATTCAAATAGTTTCAGAGTTTTGGATGGAGAGCTCATTCTCCTAGCTAAGAATAAAACATTTTAAAAAGTGTAGTTTCCAAGTAAAAAATTTTAAAAAACTTAACAAGTGGTAGAGAAGAATGTGTTGTATAACTTAGGCAAAAAGGAAAGAAAATTTCACCAAAAAAAAACCCAAACAGTAATAAAAGCCTTCAGATAAAGCCTCAGGTAAGGAATCAGTGACACAGCATGACCAGTCAATGTCTTGAATAAAATGCAGTATTTACATTTACAAATTACATTTCCTATAAAATGGACTGAGAGCCACATCAAAAGAATCATAAATGTTTACCATAGTTCACAATTAAATGGATAGCTCGATGATGCCCCATCTCCTGGAGAATCTGTAAAAGGTCCCCGATGGTCTTGTTTTTCTGTGCCCAGGACCAAAGTAATTCTCTTGTTCCACTTTTACCTTGGTCTACATATTTTTCAATGTGACGAACATCCAGCCAGGTGCTTGAAAGTCGCTCCGCTGTGGAAATTGCAAAAGGAAGAACCAAAAAATAATTTACTTTTATTGGAATACTTGTTTGGGGGCACTTTATATGTTTTATTTCATATTATTTGTAATTTTTATTTTGAACTAATTTTAGCATCTACTTCCCACCCAAATTCTCCCAATGTTAACATCTTATATTACCTAGTACAATGATCAGAACCAGTGATAACTCAATTGCAGGCCTTATTCTACTTTCACAAGTTTTTCTACAAATGCCCTTTTCCTGTTCTATGATCCTACCCAGTTTCCCACAGTGCGATTTGTTTTCACTTCTTCCTAATCTCCATTCTCATGGTCTTCAGTCTTTCCTTGTCTTTAAGGACAGTGAAATACTATTGTGTCCTTCTCAGTGCATAATATCAAGAGGGTCATGATGTTGGTGTCCTATCACTAGTGATCTTAATCTTGATTGCTTAGTTAAGGTGGTATCTGCCACCTTAGTAAGTTCCTTTACTATGAAATTACCTTTCCTTGTAAAATTAATAACTATGTTGGGGGAGATACTTTGAGACTATGGAAATATCCTGCTTCTCCTCAGATTTTACCCATAAACATTTGCATCCACCAGTGGATCTTTTCTATCATAATAATTATTGTGGTCTTTGCTTAATGGTGATCTTCTGTTTTCCCTTCCTCCTCCTAAGTTCATTAACTATAATTCGTCTGTAGGAAAGTGCTATCTATTCTCCCCCATTTAACTAACTTATTTATATCAGTATGGACTTATGAGTGTTTATTTTATTCTATAGCTTAAAATCCAGTATTATTATTATTATTATTTACTTTGGTGCTACAATTATTCCAGCTCTGTCCATCCAGGTTGGGTCCAGTGTTGTGACAAGTCCCATAATTTTTGGAACACTTCCTTATTTTCTGACCCTACAAGATGCTCCAGGATCATTTTGCATTTCCCCTGTCCCAGCCTTGGAATTAATTACTTTTCCCAGGAGTCCTGTTTCCTTTTATTAGATAATGTGTTTAGAAGGCAAGATGTCGGTGCTGGATGCCCTCATGAGTGCCAGGGCTCCACTGCTTCCAAGCAGACAGAGCTAGGAAATATGTGTATATGCATTAACCCACACACCTGTATTTCTCTGTCTGTACACATATTGAAAACCATGATTTTATACAGATACCTGTGATTCTAAGTCAACACCACATGGTATATTTGAGCTCTTCCTCATTTGTAACTTTATTCCCAAACAGCAAGAAACTTCACTCTCATTATTTACAATGTCTTTACTTCTTTGTTCAATACTACTACATTCAGAACTGCTAACCTATACCCCTGTGAGAAACCCTTTAACCAAAATACAGCATTTTATGTATAAGTCTTTTTGCCCTCAGTTTGAAAGTATTCAGGTAAGAGCCTATTTTCCAAAGTTACTAGGTTAGTTCTTTTCTTCCTCACTCCCGTCAGTGTGGTTACTCATTTGCAGTAGTTAGGGTCATTTGTTGCAGTTTTAATGGAATGCTGTTTTAAATTTTTGTTCAATACTCTCTTGCTGCTGAACATTTTTGGGCAATTAAAAGCTAATCTCTGGGTAGGATCGGGGAAATGTTCTACTGGGATACTAGGATTTTAATTGCTCAAAAACAGCATATATGACTTATATAAGGTCTTGTATAAATATCTTAAAGCTGTACTTACTGAAAGTATATGAATTTTTATGACACCCTGAGTTAGTGGGATTCTTCAGGTAAAAAATTATACTGTCTTTGTGGACAACTTCCAGATTTTGAAGTGTATTTTTTTAATTTTAATTTTTTAAAAAAATTTATTTATTTATTTGACAGAGAGAGAGACAGCAAGAGAAGGAACACAAGCAGGGGGAGTGGGAGAGGGAGAAGCAGGCCTCCCGCTGAGCAGGGAGCCCGATGTGGGGCTCGATCCCAGGACCCTGGGATCATGACCTGAGCCGAAGGCAGATGCTTAACGACTGAGCCACCCAGGCGCCCTAGCCCAGTCATCTTGAGCACGAAAATTAGCAATGCGGTTTGGAGTCAGTGATGATGATGGCAGCATCCTCTCATACCTTTGTCCTCTGGAAAGTCTAAAAAAATTAGGAAGCCAGATGCACATCAATAGATAAAATCCAGTTATCATCTGAGTGTGGTCATGGGGACCCTCAACACATCACCATAACTGGTTATGGAAATCAGTCTTCTCTTCCTCTGCTGCACATAAATTTGGAAGCTCCTCTCCAGCAATAACCAAGGTAACCTCACTGAAGGAACTCACCTATTCACCAAGGATATTCTCCAAAGGTTGATGTCCTTTTAAAGGACAAACAGGGGCTCAGATTGGAGAAGTGCAGTAAGTCCCCTACGGAACTATCTGTGTTCAGTCTATTTCAGACTCTAAAGTTTTAAAAAATTTCTTAGGAAACTACTACACCAGTTATAGTATTTCAATCAAGACATCAGAAAGGCAAACATCTTCGGATCTAATATGGCATCCCTTCTCCCCACATTTTCAGTCCTTCAGGGGTTTGCTGGGCTATTCAATTTCCTCTAACTTTATGTTTTTGCTGAGAGTATAAGTAAATCCTGAAAGTTGACAGAGATCACAATATGAAATCATAACTGCCCCTCTTTCTGTGAATGAACAATTGACTTGGTAGATATAACCAGTGCCTACCAATATTTCTAGTCCTCTACCCCATCAGAGAGGGAGAATTAGGTCTTCCTGCCTTGGGTTAGTTATGCCTATGTGTCTCTTTCAGCCAGAAACACGGAAGAGCCAGGGCATAATGCACCAGGCTCCCATTCCCCCCACAGCAATGGTAGAAGCACATGTCAATATGGGGGTGCCTCAAGATTAAAGCAGCCTGGATTGCTGGGCCACCACATGGAGGTCAGCTGTCCTGGACCCTCAGTGCTCTTCCCACAAGCAAAGGTAAACTTCTGTTATGTTAACCACAGACAGTGATTTTGGTGGTGCTTGTTACTGCAGGCTAACTTAGGTCTATCCTGATTAATACACACAAAGTTTTATCTTGGGTGTTCTGTTACTTCAGTCACATCTTGCATCAGAAAAGAGTGAAAGGAAGTTGCAGCTCTTGTGACTACATTTTAAAGGATGATAACGTTGAGACATTCCATATGAATGCATGCTTAGGCTGTAGAGGGAAAATCCACTACAGCAGAGTATCTGACATCATTAAGTAGGAATGTCTTTGCCTTTCCTCCATATTTTAAGTTCTGGCAAGAATATTTTTATTATTTCTTTCTTTGAAGAGATGATGTCTCATGAAGAGACAAGGACTATCCAAATGTCAATATATATTTTAGACAGCTTATCACTAAAAAAAAAAATAGAAGGGGACCTTCAAAGCAAAAATACTTGGCAAGACGTAGTAACTCTATTCTAATGTATTTCTTTGATGATGTAATCTACCTATTTGGTTGAGGCACAATTTTCATAAACACTTTATTTAACTATTTCTAGAAGCTCTTAGGGGAAATAGTGCAAATCAGTATATTTGTTAAAAAGAAAACCACAGGCCCCAAACGGCATCACTTAGGCCAAGTCACCAAACAGGGCTTAATACCTAATCTAACTGTAGTTTCAACATCCCCCAGAAATATAAATCTTAACCAGTCAGTCAGGAATTTTCTGATCAGGGCCAATGAAGTAATCTGTTACATGGGCCCTCTCTATCCCCAAAGGAAGATGAGGTCATTTGCATGATAAGAAACCTTGCTCTTCTCCCTAAGGGAAAGTGATCCTGCCAGGAACAATCCTTTCCTTTTGCTAATAACTTTCTTGCCCCACCATCTTTCCTATAGAAACCTTCCATTTTGTACAACTCCCTGAACTCCCCTCTATTTGCTGGATGGGATATGGACCGATTCATGAATCATTAAATAAAGCCAATTAGATCTTCAGATTTACTTGGTTGAATTTCATTTTTTTTAACAAGTTCAAACATTTGTTTAATGTGCTAGCAGTACAGTAATTGCATACATCAAGTGTAAGTGGAGGGGCACCTGGGTGCTTCAGTCAGTTGAGTGCCTGGCTCTTGATTTCAGCTCAGGTCATGATCTCAGGTTCATGAGATCGTTCCCCGTGTTGCACTCCACGCTAAGTGTGGAGTCTGCTTGGGATTCTTTCTCTCCCTCTCCCTCTCCCTCTGCCCCTTCCCATGCTCGTGCACTCTCTCTCTCTCTCAAATAAATAAGTAAATCTTAAAAAAAAAAAAAAGCATGTGTAAAGCAAGAAGAGGGTTCCCTAACTAAAGATGGGGGCATCATGGGGGCATCCCTGGCTGGCTCAGTCAGTGGAGCATGCGACTCTTGATCTCAGGGTTGTGGGTTCAAGCTGCATGTTGGATGTAGAGATTACTTAAAAATAAAATCTTATAAAATCTTTTTTTTTAAAAAAAAGATGAGGGCATCATGGAAGGCTCCCTAGAGGAATGGTTTCTGGAGCCTGAACCAAGTTTAAAACTGTAAGTATTTCTAAAGAGAGGCCACTGTTTAAGGAATTATTGGATGGAATATACTATACTGGGGAGGAAAAAGAAAATCACTGGAATTTCAGTTGGAAAACAAGATAAAAGAATGAACTCTGAGGCTATATTGTTTTCAAAAGAGAAAAGTCAAGACAGAGGACTCTTGTGGCCCCTTGGATATATGCATGAAAATGTGGGTTTAGGGGTGGCTCTGCCATTGACCTATGGTGCAACTCTAGGCAAGTCACTGAGCAGTTTCAAACTTCTCATTAATAAATATCCTTTGAAATCCATTTGAAATCCCTCCCAAAACAGACACTAAGTTTGGCTGCCCCTCTCTGGTGTGCTGTTTATAGGAGAACTGACCTTAAAATACCTCCAGTCTTTAGAACACTTCCCAGTCTCCAAATTAACATTCCAACAGGGGAACTCTAAATATCAAATTTCAGCAAAGTGAAAGTTTAGGTTTCTACTTTTTCTATTAGTCAATTAATTGGCTAACATTTATAGAGTATT